GTTTTGTTTTGTTTTTTTGTTTTTTTAGACAAGGTCTTATTAAGTTGCTGAATTGCCCAGAATGGGCTTGAACTTGTGATCTTCTGTTTTAGGCTCCCAGAGTGCTGGGATAATCAGTTGTTTTTTGTCAATACTGGAAGTTGTTTAAGTATGTGAATCTCTCGTGGTAGTATACATCCTTGATCCTAGCTGCTTAGGAGGCTGAGACAGGAAGATCTTCAGTTTGAGGACACCCTGACAATTTAGCACAAACCTGTTTCAAAATCCGGATTGGGCATAGGTCAGTGGTACAGTCCTTGTTTAGCATGTGCAAAGCTGTGAATTCAATCCCTGGTACCACCACCATCCAACAGAAAGTTAATAGAGGTCAGCTTAGTGTGTATATGGGGAGATAAAAATCCAGGAATAATTAGCTTCAAATATTAAGAAGCAGTGCACCATAGTGAGCAAAAGCACGGTCTCTGAGCCGGCTGCCCGAGTGTGCCTGCAGCGTCCGTGCCTTACGTTGTGTTAGGACAAGGTGCGGTGGCCATGCTTCAGTGTCCTCATCTGCAAGATGGGATAAAAGCAGACTTATCCTTGTAAAAGTAACTGAAAACTTAGCTTAGTAGATTAAAACACTAAATGTATAGTTTCTCACCCTTATACATGTAATAAATCCAGGCTGAGCATCTGAAATTTGAAATGCTCCAAAATCCAAAACATTTTGATCATCAATAGGCCACCACAAATGGAAAATTCTACACCTGACCTCATAGACAAAGTGCAGGTGTGCTAAAAATTTTTGTTCAAAATTATCTCCAGGTGATGTCTATTAAGTGTACTGGAAACAAATGAATTTCATACATGGACTTGGACCCCATCCCTCATATATCTTATTGTGTACACGCAGATATTTAAAAAATTGAAATTTAAGAAACAAGTGTTTTAGATGAAGAATATTCAACTGTACTAAATAAATATCAATTATTATTTTTGTAAAATGACCAGAATATCTATTGGAAAAAAATTCTATTTGCCTACATAAGATACACAATCTGCTGTTTCATTTTTGAGTGTTGTTGAATGCAAACTATTAAGTTGATTAAAACACTGTCTTTTCCTTAATCACCTGTTTTCCGCAGAGGCTGGCTATGTGACCACCCCCATAGCTATGGTTCAGGCAGCCATGACTCTTCTCAGTGAGGCCTCTGATCTTCCTAAAACGTAAGTTTGGTTTTCTTCTAGTGAGAATTTTCTATCTGGGTTATATTTTTTTTATATTTGATTCTCAGGTTTTGGGTTTGCTCAAAGGATTTATAGTTCTGTTGATTCAAAGATACAGGCTAGTTAAAGTAGGGAGAAGGTCAGTTGTTTACTAGCCTTTGTGAATAACTGTAAAGGTAAAGGAGAAGAGACAGAGAAGTCTGAGAGCCTTGTGAAGTGACTTCACTTTCCTTACAAAAATAGCTCCAGGCCAGAGCCCATTATTCAGAAAAAGTTCCTGTTGTTAAGTAGTATCAAGGGGAGCCTCTCATCAGTGCTGGGTGATCTGTGAGCTGGATCCAGCTCCTGGCTGGATGGTTATCACATGCACTTTACTGGAACACTTAGCTGTTACCCTGAAACTAGACCTGCAGCTGAGAAATCAGGTATAACCTGAAACAATAGAAGTTTTATTTAATAAAAGTAAAATTTGTATGTACTACAACCTAATACAAATTTTCAGATACTTATATATACCCTTTGAAAACATTTGGTGTTAGCTAATGAAGAAACGTTTTCAATTGTTGAGTCTTCCCAAATCTGAAGACTTTTTTGCAAAATCAGAGATTGAACTCAGGCCCCTGCGCTTGCCAGGCAAGCACTTATTCCACTGAGCCATCTCCCCTCGACTGTTTAAAAGCAGCAGCACGCACACACACTGATAGTATGGCTCCCAAGCGGCCAATGGCATCAGAACGGTCTCACCAGGAACTGAGCCAGTCTCAGCTGTGACACTGATTTCTCTTGGAAAATAGCCATTTATTCTTTTGGCTGATTTTAGGACTAGAACCCAAACCAGCCACAATAGTATAAAGACTTGGGTTTTCAGGAATTCTGCAGGAATTGAGTAACACAGAAGCTGGAGAGGAAAGATATGAGCTATTTTCTCTTGTTGTTTTACAGGGGCGGGGTCTTCACACCTGGTGCAGCTTTCTCCAGAACAAAATTGATTGACAGACTCAACCAGCGTGGTATTGAATTTAGCATCATTAGCAGCTCTGAAGTCTAAATATTTGAAGATTAACTGAAGTCATACTAGCATGAATTAACAGCTTCTATATTTGATATTTTAAATTCTCCTATAAGCCTATGTGATATGTGGAAAAGATTATCAGATCTAAAGTATCTACACATTAAAAGCAGGAAATTACTAGCTGACCTTAAACTTCACATCCCAGCTGATTTTATGACTTTATTGCTTGTAAGAGAAAACTAATATTTGACTTACTTTATCACTGAAGTGTTCCTGATGAATTTTTATGAATGAGCTGGTAGGTCCGGTGGTGGCGGAGATGTCCTTGTGTGTCGCTAAAGGCATTCCTTGTGGGAGTGCTTGGCCTGGCGCTTAGCTAGGGCAGTCCCTGCCACCTTGCTTGCTGTGGGATCAAATGGGACCTCACCCTCCAGTGAGTTTCTCTACCTACTGTGTGAGCTTTTGCTAAATGAAACAGCACTTTTTTTCTACTTAGTCTGGTTTTTCACCTGTCTGCACTGACTGATTTGGGACTGTTACCTAAGTTGAATAATAAAGAGTTGTCAATGATGGGTTTTTTTGTTTGGACCTTCCTGTGTGTATAGTGGTAGATATGTGCTGCTTTACATGATGAGCCTGCATACAGCCAGTAATTTCTTGACATTTTTTTTCTTTCCCTAGTTCTATACCTTTAAATAGTTTTAAGAAGGAAGCTTGTACATTTCTATTGATCTTTACTGCTTAAGCAGAATTTTTCTCTAGTTTTTATATTTGAACTACATTTTTTTTAATTTTAAAAAGAAAAAAATAACAAGGACGAAAACAAAGCACTCTAAGACAATAAAAGTAGTATAGGATTTCAAAACAACAGAAAATTAACAATGGTTGTTATATCACATATTGTTATCAGATTTGTTGCTCATACTACACGGTACAGGCATGTAAGATCAATGAGTTAAAACTAACTCTTATTTTCCATAAACCTTGAATTATTTTTCCTTTCCTTTTTATTTTTA